CTCTCACATGTTTCTCTCTTCTCCAATACCTCGTCTTCATTTATTTTTATCTCTTACTGTATTTTTTTAAATCAAATGGACTATATACTTTTTCTAAATTTATTGTATTTAATCTTTTTGCTGTATCTATGTTTCAAAAAAATATTTTTTTCCATTGTTATATAAAAAGATTCTTACAGTTTTCTCCTTGCAACAAACAAAACATGGTATTTTTTTTTGTAATAATTCAAAACTACATACGGTATAAAAATGAACTTTGAAAAAAATTTATCTTTTTGTTTATTTTTTTCCTCATGTTTTTTAAATATAAAAGAAAATATAATAAATAGAAAAAAGACAAATTAATAAGAGAATTACTTGAGATTTTGTGATATGAAAATAAAAATAAATAAAAAGAGAGATAAAAAATAATGAAGCATTGCAGAGGAGAGAAAAATGAGGAAGTGAGCAGGTATAAGGAGAGATAAAAGGGGAGGAGAAAAGCTAAAGGTAGCATATCGGTAATTGATATATATCTCCAATCAAAAGATTGTGAGTTCGATCCTCACCCCATAGGAGTAGTCAATTTATCTTATAAACATTGTCACACGTTCCATATCTTTTCCATGTAAGATCCTCGACAAAAATACGTGGCTTCTAACTTTTTTGTCATTTCCTACTCAACATAATGTGAACCCGATCACTATTGTACTTTGGCTAAAGAAGATCATTTCTTGCTGTTGTTGTAGTTTAGTATTGCTACTATAACTAAAAAGGAATCCAAATTCATTTAACCTATTGATATATTTTTTTAATTAAGTGCATAGATTTAGGTTTCCCTTTTCTTTTTCTTTATATTCTAGAATTAGAATCAATTTACTTGGATGCTTTTCCACTGTCAATAACTCTAAATATGTCATATTCATTACCATTGAATTCACAATTTTCTCCTTCTGTAAATGGATGCGTGAAGTTTGGGACAAAGAAATTGAGGGTTAGAAAATGAATAATATTTTAATTAATTTGTAGCTAGAAAAAAGTAAGACATTATTATTATGTATGCAAATGGACGGTGGCCTTTAATCGTGATTATGATTTTCCAAAGAAAAAAAAGATAACACTCGAGTAGAAATCCAAGTCTAGACGGTAACCCATAAAAAGATAACAATGTTTGGCAAAATAAATTAGAATTTAATAAACAAGAGACAAATTAAATAAGGTCCATTTTGGGATGGAAGGAGAGAAAAAGAAGAAAATAAAGAGATAATTAATTGGATGCCAAGGTCTATGGAACAAACAAGTTGGCAAAAATGTCAACCAAAACCCACATAAAAAATATACATTAATTAATATATCATAAGGTGGAAATTAAATTAAATTTTGCATATTTCAGCATCCGAAAAAACAGTCAAATCCCACCCCAAAGTGCTTCATAAGTTAGCCCTTTTTTGAAAATATTTTTGTTATAAAATTGTTGGAAAGTTAGTGACCACGTCACCACCCTGACTTGCCCACTTCCACAAAACTCACATCCACACACATTTACATTTATATATGATTGTTCCCTAAACTCCAACTCATACTTCCACTCATATTTCTTAGTGTAATTTCTTTTATGGGTTTGTGTTTTAAGCCTAATTGGTGATGTAATTCCACACGTTTACTCAAAATATTTTGTGGGTTTTTCCTTATCTAATCATTTTTCCTAAAAAAGAAATTATAGTCACTGCTTCTGGATTGGTTTATAAACCTGGTACTATTATCTTTTTAACGTGGGATCCTTGATATGTCCCTTTAAGACGGCGACTCTGGTTGGCTCATCAATTTTAGTCGACTTGTTGAGCTTTGTTACCGTATCAAGATCCATGAGGTTCTATCTCAAAATTAATTGGCAACGAACATAATAGCTCGTGCATATTATGAACATTTGTTAGGTAGCTTATCTTTTTAGGTTGGATATTAGTCTATCTTAACATTGGATTTAAATCCCGTATAGTTGGCTACCATCTTAAGAAGTCTTGCATCATTGGTTATGTTTATATATATACACACACACTAAAGATCTTCTCTATTTCTAACTAATGTATGACGATATTTGGATATCGAACATTGTATATTTTTAAATCTATAATTTAGTAGAAGGAAAGTTGATGATGTCGCTGTATATGCACCAACTCGATCATTCCTAATATTAGAAGGACTAGAAGCTATATTAATTTGAAACGAAATAACAAATTTGTATAATTTAAAGAGTCAAATATAGCAAATTCGTATACTTTAAAGAGAGGTGAATGAATCTTTCTCATTCACACGCACCTACTTGTAAAAGTTTGTTTGTTTTAGATGATTCAAAAACAGCATTATGGCTGCTAAAGTTGTACTGTTTTTGGACGACTGTGAACTGTGAAGTATGAACATAACAATATTCTTTACACGTGAAAGGAAAATAATAATAATAATAATAATCAAGGAGTTAGTGGGAGAGAGAGAGAGGAAAAAAAAGCAATTTAGATGGTGACAAATATATGTTACATGAAGAAGTTGTCGCAATCAAAGTGTTTAATGTTTTTGCCTGTACCAAAAACTGTCCATTATTATGGTTTGAAATTATGGTAATATCTTCAGTAATTTGCGTGACGAAAAAGGTGGGAAAATGGAGTTTGGTACTAAAAAAAAATGCTTTTTAATTTAATTTAAATCTTTTTTGGAACCAAGTGAAAACTATCTTAATCCAATCGAGAACATCACATGGCATGCATTTTCTAATTCCTAGGATGATTCCAACATAAATTCCATTATAATCTAGAGAACTTATTCAACCAAATGGTGGATGTAATATATAGTTTTATAAAGTATACTAAAGTTTATATAACGGAGCCTTTTCATATTCTTACTAATGGCATGATATTGGACATAAGCCTTCTATAGCTTTACACATTGTATCTGCCTAAGCATCCAAAGATTCTATCGAGACGAATAATGGATAAGTTATAGATTCTTTTTTTTTTAAAAAAAAGGGATGACACCATTTTATTCTACAGTATGTGAAAAATATACGAGGGAGGGAATAATGAGAAAACACTCCCATTTAAAAAAATGTTAAAATATCATAATTACAAAAAAGTGGGGATGTTGAGGACCAAGAATGATGCTAAGATCTTGATATCTTTCTAAATTAGATTGGCAAGGGATCTTGATGAATTTGAGAAAGTGCGATTATTACGCTCCAACCAAATAGACTAAAGGAGAGAGTCAGACTACTGTAGTCTAGAGGATATTGATCATTCTATAGTTCAGTTAGAGGCATAACTTTGATAATACTTGTTAGGGACAATAGACCGTCTATACATTTTATTAGGAGTGAAAGAATTCGAACCGACGTGAAAATTCAAACCGATCCGTTATTGTTCGGGTCGGTTCGGTTTATAAAAATATTCATTCAAAACCGAAAACCGAACTGAATCGAAAATAAAATTTGAGTTCAGTTTCAATTTTTATTTTGTTTTTACCTAGATATAAATAATTTATAAAATGATTTTATAATGGTATGACATATTGTCTACTTTTGAAATAATTAAGCCTTCGTAACTTTATTTTTAATTTCACTTAAAAGATTTTATACTCATAAAAATGTTGTATCTCACTTATATATCAATGATCATGCATGTAAGAAATAAGAATATTCTTGTGACTTGAATAAAGTCAAAATTTTAGTTTGATTTTTATTTTCAGTACAGAAAAAGTAGTGTTAGTTTGAGAATTGTTTTTATTAAAAAAAAAGTTCTTTTTTTAGAATAAAATTTTGTGAAATTTTCATGTATTAAAAACGTTTATAGTAGTCGAATACTTCTTTTAATTAAWTTTTCTATTTAAAATTTTGAACTTGTTTTAAAGTATTAATTTTGATTCATGTTTTCAGATTTGATGAATAGTTATGATATAGATTACAATCATGTTCCTGAAATTACTGAATTTAAATCCATGTTTTTTCTCCCAAATATTATTTTCATTTATTTAAAAAATAAGTCGCCTCTAAAGTAGTTTAGTTCTTAAACGTCTTTTATAACTTTTTTTAATCCAATAATTACGGTGGAAAATCGAACCATCTACTTAAAAAATGGTAATAAAGCTTTATTGTTTAGCTTGACAATTTCTTAATAACTTAAATCATATACCTAACAGATCGCCTCACCTATAAATTTTAATAATCTTTTATTAAAAATTACTACCTCAAGATCCTTAAACTGAAAAAGAAAGAAAAAAAAAAGAAAATTACAAAAATAGTACAAAAGGAATATACCTTTATATATATAGCATTAGATTTAAAATTTTACAAAGGACATAAATTGCAAACTAATCCTTTTGTGACCTTTTTGGAAAAAAAAAAGTAATAATATTTTCATACATAAATATTTATTTTATGTCATTTAGGGTATGTTACAAAAAAGTTAAATCCTTTTATATAAAGATATCTTACTTTGAATATTAAAATGGAATATTTAGCTCACTAATTGAATTTATTGATTAAAGATATCGACAAAATGGAACAAATTGGTTTAAATATCATTTTAGTCATTTTAGTCTTGTACTGTTGAAACCTCTAATTTGGTCGATATACTTTTTAAAAAATGTATTATGACTGCATTCTGTAAAAGTTTATATATTGAGTATAGTATTGTGATAAAATTGTAATTGAACACTAAAATAAAAAATAAAATGAATGTACCAAAATAGCCCCTTTTAAAAATACAATAACCAAAATCTTACCTCTCTTCGTAGAACTTTGTTTGGGGCTGAACTCTGAAGCCGCTCAGCCCTCGCATGGGTTTTAAATTGGGCCACAAGCTTGGGCTTAATATGTTAGTTGGGCTTTATTTCAGTTGCGCCCTAAAGAGAAAAAGGCCTAATAGGGCCTAACAACACGGAAGCCCAATAATTGGGAAGAGATATCTCCTGTGTTCAAGGCCTAACCAAAATTTGGGCCTCACATGGCGTTCGCCCAATAAGATTCTATTGATTGTTTCTTTTTGTTTTCCCAGCGGAGAGAGTGAAAGAGAAAAGAGAGGCGGAAGCAGAATCGTAATCGGAATCGGAATCGGAATCGGAATGGCGGCAATAACGACGGCGGTGATCGCAATCGGAGCGGTGGTACTCGGATGGATCACCATCGAGATCGCCTGCAAGCCTTGCCTTGAGAAAGGACGCGACGCCATAGATCGCTCTCTCAATCCCGATTATGATCCAGATGATGAAGTCTCCAACATTCGCGCTCCTCTTAATCCCAACGCCGATCTCGCTCCAGATCTTCATGATTCCAACGCTTCTCATCCATCTTATACCTCTTCCGATCTCGTAAAGGCCGTTTGATTCGATTTCCATCCTCTTCTTTCTTCGTATTTAACGGATAATGCGTTTCCGATCTCGTAAAGGTTGTTTATGCTTGTGAAATCGTAATCCGACTGTAGAATTGAAGATTTATGTTTGGAACTGTTTGCTGATCGCCGGTTCTTGAATTGCCACTTCAAGAATGGTCAACGATTGCAATGTAAAAATCTCTGGTTTTGTTTTGTTTCTCATTTTTTCGAATTTGGATATCTTTTCCACTTGTCATGTATATCCTTTTCAATTAGAAGTGAAATTTGTCTTACTAGAATGTATGGAATAGACACATAAGCTCAGACTTCGGAGTATATAAATGCTTATATCTTATCTCGTGTATTGCTTTTAGAGTGTTGGAGCTTAAACTTACCAGTGCTAGCTCAGTTCAGCATAAATAATTTCACTGGTTTACTACTGAAGCTGAGTTCTATTGGCAGACATATGCGCAGTAGGAAATTTCTTAGAAATGTTTTCACTTCTCCTTTCATCTTGCTTGCTAAATGATCATCCCATGTACACAAATTCCTACTTAACTGTGCTACATCTGATGGCAATCAAAGCTTAACTTAGATGAGTTTTCTTAACTCTGCTACGACCTAATCCGTTGTGTTATACGTGATCTTGGAGATTCGACCTAATAACCTGCCTAGCACCCTGGTAAGACTTGACTGTATTGCATTACATGTGATGGCAGAGATTGAGATGAGTTTCCTTTGAGCTTAACCGTGTTATATGTGATGACAGGGACTGAGATGAGTTTCTTTTGATCTTCTTCAAGCTTAACTGTGTTATATGTGACGGCAGGGACTGAAACGAGTTTTCTTTGGGTTTCTTGAAAGCTTAATTGTGTTATATGTGATGGCAGGGACTGAGATGAGTTTCCTTTGAGCTTCTTTAGAGCTTCAATGGAAGGCAGAGACTGTCAACTGAGATGAATTGGGCATCACTCTGTCAAAAGGGAGAACTAGTCTTGTGGTCAATAGGGAGCAGCAGCTACTTTGAGAAGCCCCCATGAGTACAAGGTATTGAATTTCTTGCACCATAAACAGAAGTTTCAAATTATTGACTTGGTGTGATGGAGATGTTTGCCTAGCAAGTCTGCCTTGGCCCCATCTGCCCTTTTTCTTCTCATTATAAATGTCTGACCTTGAGGAAAGACAAAAACACATCATAGGGTGTGTTTTGATTATGAGAATTCAACCCATGTGCAACTCAAACTACTTAGCCTTATTGAGTTTTAATTTTCTTCGTTTTTTTTTCAATTTTTTGGGGTTAAAATCAACAAAATGCATTTATGTTGGCTCATGATGGGCGTTACGTGGTGACGTAATGTTTGAATTAATACTTGGTGGGAATTTGTGCTAAATAAAATGCATTTAACTTAATGTTTTAATTAACCCTAATCTTCTATCTATTTTCAATTACAATAATGCTCTAAGATCTTGTCCACTTTTTTTCAACCATTAGGATGACTTGCAAAATCTTATGTGTCATTGAAATAAAATCTCATTTCATAGTCTTTTTATTTGTCCTGTCTACAATGACTTTTAAAGAGAACAAATTGTCAATATGAGTATAGTTAAGTGATAGACATGTACTCCTTTCGAGATCGGAAGTTCGATTCTCCATATCTCCACATTGTTATACTAAAAAGAAAAAGAAAAAAATAATATATATATATATATATATATATATATATATATATATATATATGCATGCGTGTGTGAAATTAAGGTTGGACGTCAATTTGAATGTCCTTCGATGACTAAGAATTCTCGCTTTTACAATGTAAGAGAAATGTAAGAGACATATATGAAGATATATTTCTTTGAATTTTTCCAACTTGTTCAAATCCCACCCCACGCTGTTGAATGCAAAAGAAATATATAAGAATAAAAAATTAAAATCTGAATTTTGAGCAATATTAAATGCTTGGAATTTTGAATCTCAATTATTTAACCCCTTTATTATCATATAAGAATGTATTCTAAAGTACTAAAGTGTTCTAAATTGAATCACCAGACCAACTCCAACCATTTCATCAAATATTTCCACCACCTTTCTTTCGACCTTTTTTTTTTTAATTTTTATTCTCGCCTAATTTGAAGCACTCGTATCATCATCATTATTATATTTATTTACAAAAAGAACCAGCCACGAAAAGTTTGTTTTTTTAAATAAAAAAAAAGAGGTCTTTTTGCGTGGCAAAAACATCCTCTCTAGAAAACAATAAAAAAATAACACCAGAAGAATCAGTAAATAAATTAAACTATACTCTGCTAATAATAAAAATAAAGTATGAATTCCATTTTTTTTTGTCCTTACATTTTTAAAATATTATTTTAGTCCATAGAATTTAAAGTTTATTTCATTTATTTTATCTTTATCTTGTTTTTAATAAATTAATAATGTATAGTCAGTTATTATAGTCTCCTTGAATTTTTTACTTATTCGACCATTTTTAAAATTCATGAACCAATTAGACACAATTTTGAATTTTTTGTCAAACAAAACTGTGACCTTTTAATTTTGTATCCAAAAAATTCATGAATTGCAAAAGATGTCGAAGAGACAGACCTATTTGGCAAAAAAATGAAAGTTTGAACATCTATTAAACACCTTTTAAAAGTGAGAAATTTATTAGATACAAAATTGAAAATTTTAATGACCTATTAGACGTAAATTTGAAAATTTTAAACATTTTTAAAGTTAAAAGGTACAAGACCTACAAGATACAATTAAAAGTTGAGGAACACATTAGACCTCTAATAAATTAAAACTAAGGAACATGTTAGACACAAAATTAAAAATTAAAAAATCTATTAGATATTTATAGTTATCCCATGAAGACTTGTTTATGTCGGCTAGATGTAAGGAAAAAGTAAAAGTTGTAATCTAAGCATACACTTTATATCAAAGAAACAAAAAATACTAAATTACAAAATACACCTTTGAATTTACCATTTGTTTAAAAAAAAATTACCCCTATCATTTCACAAATTTTAATATTACCATTCCTTTCGTAAATGTTTCAAAAATCAATTTTGAACAAACATCCTTTAATATATTTTGAAGAGAAAGTTGATCTGACAGAATTTAGTCCTAAACTCACCTACCCAATTTTGTCTTAATCTCCCTTTTAAAAATGACACATTTTTTCACGTCTCTTCTTTTTAGATTTAATCTAAGCAAATTAGTTTCCACCTAATTGCAGCATATCAAACTTTTCGTTCTAAATATTAATAGGTGTTTGCTCAAATGCATCGTTTACGAAAAGTCAAATATAGTATCGAAACTTTTGAAATGACATGGATATCTTTTAAATAAATGACAAAATTTATTTTGGGTAATTGTTTTTTTAATTTAACCAAAGAAAAAGAAAAGTCAAAGTAAGAAAAAGGAGTGGTTAGAGTGGTGGAGAAGAGATGCATTTATTATGGATAACAAGTTTAGTGCCAAGTCGTGGTTGGATTGCATGTGGTAATATTTGTAGTTTCGTGCGAGACCTCATAATGAATCAATCATGCATCAAAACGACGACGAATCAAAGACTCGGTTAGTTTATGGCGCGCTTCCTTTGACTCGGTCTCCGTCTCTCCACTTTTTCAAACGGTCAACTCCTGCTACCTCTAAAATCTCTCTYTATATATATAAAAAGAAAAAAGAAAGGCAGAAAACAAATACTCTCAGTCTCACAATTATTATTATTTTTGTTGTTATTATTCAAAATTATGGCGAAATCAGCCCCAGTGAAGGTGGTGCTAATCGAGTACCACCACGTCCAGACCGACGTGTCGAACTTCAAGTCCGTCGTCCAGAGCCTCACCGGCAACGCCAAGCGGTCCTCCTCCGCCCTGCCCGACACATCGTTCCCGGCAGGAGACACCACCAAGAGGCGGCGCCGGGATTTGGACTCGGCGGCGGCCAATCAGACCATTATTCAAACCACCGCCACTACGACGCCGTTTGATCTGCACACCATGTCGTTTAAAGACTTGGATCGCTTGCTCAAATTCAACCTCCCTTCCGTCCAGGATTTAGACTGGATTTGGGCTGATAATTAGATTTTTTTTTTTTCTATTTTCCTTCCAGAATATATATATATTTTCTCAGTGCTCAGCTTGTAATATTCCCCATCATTTTTTTGAGTGACACCTCCTTCCGAATTACTATTGTTCTTTAGCTTGTCACCGTTCTCTCTTCTCATTTCCATTGTTCCGAATTTGGTTACTAATTTTGTAAATTTTTTAACACAAATTCTATACTTAACCAAAATCATTTAATTAAACAATCAAGCTATGATAAAAAAATCTCTAGTATAATGTGGTTTCACTTTCATGGTCAGTGAAGAAAATACGGAAAAGGGGCTTTATCGAGGAAAAAAAAAACACAAGGGGTGAAATAAAGAAAACAAATTTGTTAAAAAAATATTTAGGTGTAGTATTCCAATATTTCTCGAAAATAATTTTATTTTTATATCATCTAAAAATTTTGACTCATTTTTTTTAATTTTAAATAAATCCCCTCTTTCAACGTAGTTAAAATTTGAACTAGTGAATGAAAGGAGTCTTTCTCATTAAAATTGAAACAAATTTAGTAACTAAACTAACAAAAATCAATCAGATGTTAATATAAAAATGAAACTATAATGAGAGAATTTAAAATAATTTATCATTCCATTATTCCTTCCCATTTTTAACCCAACAATAAAACAAAAACAAAAACATTACGTAATATTCTTACTAACCCGACAAAGAACGACTTTTAATTTAAGAGGCAAGTACATTACAATTGGTTAAATTCATATAATATATATATATATATATATATATATATATATATCTATATCTATATATATAAACTTAAATTCAAATAAGATATTTGAATATCTAAAATATCACTAGTCTGGAGCTCCCCTCTTCCATGATTAAACTAAAAAAAAATTGTATAAAATAAATATACGAACTCCACCTTACTATTGACATTTTAAATTAATGGACATGTTGTATGAAAACAATAAATAAATAAACTAGATTGTGTGGTGTAGTGATAATGTTTTTGACGTAATAAATGCATGCAAAACAAAATGACGTGTGGTCACATTGCTTTTTCTTGATTATTTAAAATAAGTGGACGTCCATTTCACACGTGCCACTGCTCATCTACGCGCTGACCCCGACGGGTGACTTTGGACCAATTCTATCGTAAGGCCCAATTAAAGCCCATTTCAGTACATGCCTTTGTCTTCCTTGACTCGTGTTAGAAACTATATTTCCGCTTGTGTTTTTCAAATTTTACGAATTCTCAGATTTTACTTTTTTTTTATTCAATTAGATTTGTTTTTCTTATTTAAATTATTATATTTAATTTTTTCGTTCTATATTTGGATTTCAAATTTGTGATCCATTACATAAAAAATATATATTTAACTTCTAATTAATTTTTCTGATTCCCAACTCTTTATCTCTTTTCAAAAGAATCATTTAATAAAAGGTTTAAATATCAAGCGGGCCAAACTAATATTGATTATTAATATAAATTTCTTTTAAGTACAATATACGAGGTAGGAGATCCAACTCACATGAAGATATATGTCAATTATCGCGAAGTTATGCTCGCTAAATTTTCTCATTATTTTATAAATCAATTATAAAGTGTTTTTAATAGTTATTAAATCAAATATTATTAAGATAGCACACTGACTACAGTTTATATCAGTTTATTTTTCTGTTATTAGTTGCAAAATCAGTACTTGAGCTGTTAGTAATTTGTTGTATAGCCCTTCTATGTAAAGGGTTTACTGTACTCTTGATCAATTAATGAAGATTACAATGTGTTCTTGCTCCGTGGTTTATTCTTCATTCTACTAAATTCATAAATATAAAGTGTTTTTAGAAGTACTTGTTTATAGTTATATACCATTTGTTTAAATGAACCAAAATAAAAATGTTTTTAATAGAAAAATCTCTCGATGTTTAACCATTTAGATTTAAACACATTCTCTCTCACTTTACTTTAATCGGCCCAGGAACCAATGAGCCACCCATAAGTCGAATTTTGTTTAATAACGAGTATTTTAATATCAAATTATAATACTTTTTTTAGAAGTGCTTGTTTTTAGTTATTAACCTACAATTAATTTGTACTTAGTATTATTTTTTTATTGTTACTCTCGTATCTCTTAAATTTTTTTTTATATAAATCTAGTAATACAATTTATTTTTTTAAAATAAATTGAAATTTTAAAAGTACAAATATAACAAAAAAAATTTATACCATTTTTTTAAAGAGAAGACAATTAAAGTCGGATCTAATTAACTTGACATGAAAAAGCCATCTAAAACCCATAGATTGAGCAATGAACTTAGGTTTTAGTAGTTGATCCAAATCCAAGCTCGGTCGAAATAGTGGTTGAGGCCCATAAAACTTGAGTTTGGACCGAACTTCGAGTCCAACGAACTCAACGATCAAGGTGACTTAGGAGTCTAACACAAGATATAAACACAAATTTAATATATATATGTAATGATATAAGGTCTTGTTTGAATTTTTTTTAATAATCTCCTTAATCATAGTAGTCATCGTGAGACTTCATGCTACATTACTACTACTAATTTAAGAAGATTCAAATTATTATGTCTAAAAAGTTTTTACTGTTAACATTCTCTCTTGTTAAACAATTTTTGATATTTCATAATAGTTATATATATACAATTCTTTTAAAGGAATCAAAATAAAAATGCTCTTAATAGAAAAATCTATAGATGTTGAACCATTTAGATTTTGAACTCATTCTCTCTCATTTTCCTCTAATCAGTCTAGGGACCAATAAACCATCGATACTGATTGTTTAATAACAAGTATTTTAATATCAAATTATAATACTTTTTTTAGAAAGTATTTGTTTTTAGTTCTTGAATCAAATATAAAGTTAGAGAAATACATATTACACGGGGGAGTACTACTTTTAAAAAATCTAAATCTATACACAGACATATATATATATATATTTTTTCTTTTTTGTTAAGTGAAAAAGTTATTAAATAACTATATTTTTCAAAAACATAAAATCCAAAAATTAAAAATAATTAATTAGCTTAATCACTTCCTTAATTTAAAAGTTTTTTTTTAATTTGAAATAATTAATTTAAAAGTTGAAGTAATAGTTTGCGAGTTATATATATATGTTTCAAATAACACAACCACCGTAAAAAATGACCTTCTCAATTCTAATAACAAAATTAAAGTATACTTTTCTTCTTTCTTAAATCTACGGCCTCTAGCCTTTTAATTAGAATTTAATTGGGCCCCAAAAATCACGCCCATGACGTGGAGCCCACGTGGCAACTTTAGAAAAATAGTAATTGGAAGTTGGGAGGTTGTATTCTTATCATAAAAAAACCCACAAATAAAAACTTTATTGGCCAAAACAAATAACCAATCTTGCTTTTCATATCCCCTTTTCCATTAGCTTATCTCTTATCATCATATATCCAAATCCCTAAAATAATTAGGCAATTTTTCCCTTCCCACACCAAACCCAAATATGGAATATTGGGGTTTCCCCCTTTCAAATTAATGTAGGTTTTAATTTTGGGGGCAAAACAGGAAAAGAAAAAGTTCTATTTTTGTTAAAGAAAATTAGCATGCATATTGTCTTTAGAGGCTGCAACAAAGGCATGTGAAATGTCCATTCTTTGCATATACATGTTGTTAACTTTCTAAATGTGAAGCTTTATTAGTTTTTCAAATGTTACTTCATCTTTTTACACCAAAATTTGCTTTTTAGCTAAAAAAAAGAATGCTCTTTGTAAATTGAAAAAGAAGAAATCTTCTTTTCTTTTATCGTATGAATCTCGCTCACTTTCTCTTTCTCTCCACCTTTAAATGATAGAAAAAGAAGGAAGAGGAGAGTTTATAATTGACCCCTTTCAACAAAGTTGGCTCATTGTCCCGTCTTCAAATATCCTAATAACTCTTTAGTTGGTACTGTTTATTATACTATCACTACATCAAAAAATTTAACCTTATTAAGTTATGATTCTGAATCTCCAATTCATTTAATTTATTAATACTTCTTATCACGTGTGTTATAGGAAGAAAAATACAGAATGGACGAAGCGACAGAAGGAGAATCGTCGAAGACCGTCGGCTTGGGCCAATCTGAACCGACCCGTGGCTGGCGCCAACCAGGCCTCGGCTCCAAGGTGTTCTCGGCCAAAAGGCCAAGAACCCTAGTTCAACTTTCGATACTTGTGCCTACCTGATCTCGACCCTTGATCCGACATTAGATCCACGACGAAACACATGGGTCCAGAAGTCCAAATTTCTTAAAGATATTATGGTTCAACTTCTATAAACCCTAGGGAGATTAGGATTCAACCTCTATAAATAAGGGAGTAAGTCAAATCCTAGAAGTATGTCTAAACTTCCTACTCTACTCCTACTCTCCTCACCAGACTTCTCTGATACTAACTTAAGCATCGGAGCCCGTGTGGTCAAAACCACACCGGTCGTAGTGTTATTCCGTTTTGCAGATCACGTCGATCTCTTTCATACTTAGAAGATTGGTGCAAATTTAGCGAGATCTCAGGAGACCAAATTTCACGTATAATAATGTTGCAAGAATTGAAACTCAAAATATTTTCTCCTTTAATGTAATAATAAATAGAGTTTAAGCAGTTAAATATGGATAAATTTAATTCATCCATTCATTCTTTAACAAATATCAAAGACCCTAGACCCTAGTTTTGCCACTTTTTTTTTCCTTTCAAATACGACAACCGATCTTGTTAGTTACTTTTCTTTTCACTCTATCAATGTTTACACTTGAACCATATCCAACTAGATTTCTTCCTTTAAATTTATTAGTTTTAAATAATTTCATCCTAAGAATATATTTCAAGTGGATAAGATATTTTAATGCATATGCATTAATGAACTAAAATAAAGAAACTCAACCTCATGTTTTTTCTTTTCAAGATATTTTTCTTTTTTCTTTTTTATTTTCAGTTGTCCAAATTAAGAGTTGAATATTTAGGCATGAAAATTAAAGCAAATCTCTCTTTAACTATCTTAATTACTAGTAAAATTTGGTCCTCAATTGCAAATCTATAATATATTAAAATGAGGATGCTGGAAAAATATTTTTCGACTATTATACTTTTCTTCAATTTAGAAATTACAAAGCATGCCATAAAAATTAATGATAAATATTAAATTAATTATTAATAATAGTTAATTAATTAATTATCAACCATAATATGGAATTTAAAAGTTGAAATATGAAAAAATATTTATTATTAAAATTTTTAATAATCCAATGATTTTCACTAATAATATTATAATTAATAATAAAATTTTAAAAGTTTTGAAATTTCAAAATATTGGTAAATGTTTTTCACCTTGTGCTAATATAAAAAGATACTTTCTTCCACAATTTTTTGTATCTACACTTTGAGCTCTATTTTTTCTTTATTATTACTTCTCTCTCATCTTCTTACTCTAAATAAACTCTCTGGTCTTGAAATTTTTTTAAATTTAACCCAAAAAATACAACTATAAATTTTTAAATTACCTTAAAAAATATTTTATTAGTTATAAGAAAAAGTATGCATATTAGTTGAAGCAATGAGATGATGAGTTGGCCATGGATAGGAATGGGTCAAATTTAAATTTGCACCATAAACTTTACCAAGAGAAATCTGAACCAACTTTTTTTCTTTTACCTTTTTACACACCAAATTTCAAGTAAAAGTGCTTCACCCAGGGGGACCTCATTTGCATTTTGCCAACCTATTCTTTTCAATGCAAACTCCTAAAAAGTCAGAAATAATAAAATCATCTAACACTACATCTGAACAACTCAAGAGTATTGATTGTACCATCGAAAGAGAAGGTATATTTTGTTGGTATATATTGTTACTACTCGGATATTAAATTACCATCTACATGTTGACATTTCCGTCCATATTTTCATATGTTTATGGGTTCGAAATTTCAATAGTATCGTAAAAAAGTTGACAAAAATATGAAAGAATATTAACAAAATATATAGACATATTATTAATATTAATAAATTTTAACATGCTTATTTGTTATTTTAAATATTTGTTATGAATTTTTTATTTTTATAATTTTCTCACAAATATCTATTACATTTCTATAAAATTGAGACCTCAACATTATATTTAAAACCTTGCTGTTCTTTGAAATCTTCCTTAATCGTGCTTGCGTGATCTCAAAAATATATCTCTAAATGTGGTGTCGAATCATTCATATGCAATTCTTCCTCTACTCGGGTGCCATAATATTAAAGCCCAACCAATAACTCGATTCTTTTCCCTTGTCCTTTATTAGGTCTTTGAGTATATTTAATATGGAAATAATCTCATTCTACATGTGACATATATATAATGGCACACTTTATTTGACCATATGAAATTGAAGGGTTAATGTATTATCAAAATTCGAAGGACTTTACACATCCGTATTCGCTTTGTAATTTCCACATCCTTATCCAAATTATCCAAAGCTAATTAAAAGCAAATTACTTTCTAAAAACACTAGCCCTTCAAATATGGCCACCAACTAATAATGAATAATATTCAATTATTTAATGAAAAAATCCAATCTTCCAACCATCTTTATCTATTAAATTTGACCCATTTGCACGAATTCCACTTTCTTTAATTTTACCTTTCTACTTTCATTAATATATTCAATTTTCTTAGCTCATCACTCATTAATTAATTGAACGACCATTGCTCTGTTCAATTACTCCATCACCTTAATTTGTTTTTTAATCCCTATTAGTCCACCTTGATAATTTAATTAATGAGTGTGGCTAATGATCTTAATTAAGCTCTCCTTTTGTTCTTTACGTGTACAAAAAAATGATGCGCCTACTTTTTTTTTTTCAATATAGCCATCCTTTGTCCACAATTTTCTATGGATTATCTCAACCATATTAAAAATTTAGGCTTAATGAGGATTTGAAACCTTTAATCATTTGGTGGAGAATATATATACTTGAAACTATTTACAGATTAATGGAATTTTATTTCATTTGGTGCCTTATCCATCAAGGTTTCAATACTGCCCCTGACAAATTACGACAAGGTATCCAACTTTAACCATTAATCTAAGTTGGTGCGTCTTATGCTTTCACCATTCTAAATCACTGGATCATCTATTTATGCGGTGCCACTATCCACGCAGTCTTTGGTCTGTTATTTTTGGCACTTTCAACAAACCAATGATTCTAGCCTCTTCTTGGTCGTCTTCTAAATCATCTCTCTTTTGTAATTATGATATAGTCATAATTTCTTTCAATTGGAACGCTTTTATCTAAGCAGTCTCCTCTCTTTTGTATGTTTCTCACATACGTACTTGAACTCGTAAAGTGATATAGTAATTTAATACTATAGAAATTAATAACTATTTTCACGTCATGAGATGCATATATCACTTTCATAAATATCATAAAACAATATCATAAACCACGATCTCAAGTCTCTCTCTGCCATTCCTTTTCCATGTGATGGCCAATGGGCATGCATGCATCATATGACAACTCATCTCTCTCTCCCCTCTCTCTCTCTCATCAAATTTTAAATGAACCCAATTAAAGGAAGTCAACTATAGTAATGAGGTGCACTATCATTTAAAATAATGAAAAACATTACACAATCTCTTCTTTTTGGAGATTGAATCATTTCAATTTTCCACAAACTATATAAAATATTCTCATCCTTTTTTAGGTTTTAAGAAACTCTCCCTTGTATCTTCCAAAGCAAGAATCTATTATTTTTCCCCTCTAATCATAGTTTCTTTTTAGATACAGCCACCCAAATATTATGAAATTTAATCAAATTAATTATGATATTTGTAATTGATGAGACTTAACTTTCACTAACATTTGATCCATTTTTTGAGGATTCGATTCGGCACTAGCTACCATTTTTGTATTGGGGTTTAGTACTGTATATTAATTAAAATAGTAAGAGTGAGAGATTTGGTAGGGCTTTTGCTTGTATATGAAGAAAGAGAGCGTTTATTGGCCCCATTCATGATGTGAGAAATTGGAAAGAGGAAAAAAAAAATAAAACCAAATTTCCCACTTTTATATATACCCCATTATTACATCCGAATCCAACCCACATTCCCAATGCAAAAATCTTCTACACAAAACATTCCTTCAAAAGCATCTCAAACATACCAAAAATTTCTTAACTTTCTCCCTCTCTCACTGCCATGATCCATATTTTTCTCTTATTTTCTCTCACATTCTCAGGTATAATATATATAGAGAGATCATGAATCTCCAAATTTGTCATTTTTGTGTGTTTTAGTTACATATATTTTGTTTTATACAGGAGTTGAATCTCTAGGAATCAATTATGGGCAAGTGGGAGATAATTTGCCACCGCCGGACAAAGTTCTTGAATTGCTAACTTCTCTTAAGATCTCCAAAGTAAGAATTTACGACACAAACCCTCAGATTTTGGCCACATTTGCCAACTCCAAAACGGAGCTTATTGTGACAATAGAGAATGAGATGCTAAGCCAGCTGATGGACCCTCAACAAGCAGTCCAATGGGTTGCCACCCACATCAAGCCCTACTTCCCGGCGGCGAGGATCACGGGGATCGCGGTCGGGAACGAGATATTCACCGGGAACGACACGACCCTGATGGCGAATCTCGTCCCGGCAATGATCAGCATCCACAGCGCCCTGGCTCAGCTGGGGCTAGGCTCCTACATTCATGTCTCCACTCCCACTTCATTGGCTGTTCTTGAGGAATCTTTCCCTCCTTCAGCTGGTAGCTTCAAAACCCAAGTCTCGCCCTACATTTCTCAGTTTTTGCAGTTCTTGTCAAGCACAAAGGCACCATTTTGGATCAATGCTTACCCTTATTTTGCTTACAAAGATAACCCCAATAAAATATCTTTGGACTATGCTCTTTTAAATCCAATGTCTTATATGGTTGACCCTTCCACTAAGCTAAATTATGACAATATGTTGTATGCTCAAGTAGATGCAGTGATTTTTGGAATGGCAAGATTGGGTTTTGATGGGATTGAGGTGAGGGTTTCAGAGACAGGGTGGCCTTCAAAAGGAGATGATGATGAAATTGGAGCAACAGCTGAGAATGCAGCCATTTACAATAGGAATTTGTTGAGGAGGCAATTGGCTAATGAAGGAACTCCTCTAAGGCCAAATATGAGGCTTGAAGTTTATCTTTTTGCTCTCTTTAATGAAGACATGAAGCCTGGTCCTACCTCTGAGAGGAACTATGGCCTCTACCAACCTGATGGAACCATGGCTTACAATGTGGGCCTCTCTGCCTTGTTGAGTTCTTCTTCAACCTCTTCTGCATCAATCTCTCTCTCTTCGTCCGCCTCTAAGGTAACAAACGATCGATTATTCATTACTCAACTTTCAAAATGTCTATTTTAGTCTCTTAACTTTAAAACAACTCAACCATTTTGATCATAGGCCCTGTACTGATGATGTCAAAATCACTTCTCTTTCCATCGATCAAGTTGACAAATTAAAAAATTGATTTTAGAAGAGTTTAAAATCACTTTAAATTGTTTTTTTTTTCAAAATCGATCATTCTACTATCACTCCCAAACACACCCTAAGATATGAGAATCCAGACATTAACATGGACTATATATATACGGAATAGACATGAAAGTTTAGAGATGGAAATGAGGTCTGAGTATGAAATATATATATATATATATAACAAAAGCAAAAAACTTCTCTTTTTGTAATGGTCAATCAGATTACTTCTAACTTTACTGTTTCTTTTTTCTTTAATGAAAAAAAAAAACCAGACAGCAGCAATGGAATATCAAAGCTTAGTGTATTGGATGTTTGTGTATTTGCTGGTTGGCATCCAGATTATTCTGACGAGAAGACCATTTTAGAGGAAATTAGTGGAAGCTTTAGAAGATTGAAGAACAAGAAAAACCTTTAAATTATCAGCTCCCAAAGCTAATTAAGCCCTCATTTATTAACTTTAATTTCTTAATTAGTGTTCATTGTTGTAAAATGGCCTTTCATTTGATTCTTGTGTAGCCATAAATTAAATTGTTCATGTATAGCTCTCTCTCTCATGTACGTAGAAAGCAAAAAGGCCATGCAATATGCCATTCGTTTAATATAATGTTATTATTATTTCAAAATGCCTCTAATTATTCTATATTATCTGCCAGATAATAATTATTATTATCACTACACCCTTGTTTTGCTCACATCATTTTGTCATAAAAGAAAGAATAAATAGTATGGAAATATAAGGAAAAAAGAAAAAAAAAAGTCATCTCTCATCGTCTGTGGGACGTGGAATCCACATGCAAAATCTTCCTAAAAAAATTGAAAAGTAACTTTTTTTCCTTTTCTTTTTAATTTTTTAATCCGATTAAAGTCTCTCACGTATAAGTGAGGAACAACATCCAAATTCGTACGGACCTTTCGAATGAAACTAAAATAGAAGTAACGAGGTTTAAAGTGGACAATATCATATCATTCTAAATATAAATTCATAAATTATATAATGGTGTAGGATTCTTGAACCACATTTTTGGGAATAAAATAATTTATTCTTTCTATGAAATGTGTAACATATACGGCATTAATGAAAAAAAAAAAAAGTGTAAAGTTGCAAACTGTGTTTGGTCACTTTTTATTATCCTTAGCAGACAAATGGTCGGCCAAGCTTTATTCCTTTGGCAAACCCTAACCGTCAGCACTGCTCCATTTTGGGCATCTTTTTAATTTCTTATCTCTGCATATATAATAATAGTATTTTTATATAAAAAAAAAACCTCTGCTTTATTTACGCCCCATTACTGATTGGACCAGAAAACACAGAAAAGAAGTCATTTTTACCACCAAGGCAAGATGCCCATAAGATATTGTTTAATGGGTTTTTTTTTTGGGCTTTTTTGCTGCTGAAAAAGAAATGTGGCTCGTTCATTTAATTCAAAAAAGGAAGGTTGAGAGACTTTTGAAAGTTGGATTTTGAGGATTGGTGATGAGTCATGGTAGTGGATTAATGCATCAGATAAAGGGTTCCCCATTTTTTACACAAATCAGCATGTGCTTCTGTACGTTCTAGAGAGAGACAAGAGATTGTGAGAGATACATTTGAGTGCCAATTACAGTCATTGCCTTGCATGCAACCTTTTGACCTAAGTATCAACCATTCCGATCCATCGGTCATGTTGTCGTGGTCATTTTTATTCAAAACTTATCGTAATTCATCACTTTAAGGTAGCTTGCTCATCGATCCTGTTGGGATAATGGAGTCAAAACAGATGACCCGTGTCATACGACGGAAAGAATTTTCGACACTACTACCAATTCCTATAAGGGGTAGGATATTATTGTCTTATAAGGATTACAATATTGTTTTCCTAGGATTGCGATATTTAATCTGAGAACCCTTTTGTTAATGTTTCATTTGTATAGAATCAAAATAAGAGAGACTTGAGTGGTTGTGGGCAGTGTGTGAAAAAGAAGTTTGTATCTCGTGGATTTAGTGAGGGTATTTCCAATTGTGTAATCCTAGGTAGCCATTGTAGGGTGCTTAGAAGCAAGATAGTAATATCTTGAGTAAGATCTCCATTGTAATATTCTTAACTATAGTTGAACCTGCTTTTTCGCAGAAGACTGGACGTAGCTCCAAGATGGGGGTGAACTAGTATAATCCCTGTGGTGTTAAGTTTTTCTATCCCTATCTCTTATTCCTTTGTTATTGTTACTTAATTACTTATCTGCTTTTAACCTGTGGAAGGGAAAAATTAAATAGTTCCTGTTTGAAGAACTTACAGGAGAATCGATTGATCTATATTTTTTTTCCCAACAGATCCATGCCCTCGTGAGAAGTTAGTTGCTAGAAAGAAAAGAACAATGCAATGAGGAAGCGAAGCTGTTGTTGAAACTAGGCATAAGTACTTTTATAGTTGCTTCATCTGCTTAAGTCGTGTAACCAGAAATAAGTTGACAAATTTGAAGTCATACCAATGTTTGAAGAGAGTTATTTCAGTCTCCATCATTGGCAACTAGTGTAATCAAAAAAGTAAAAGTGGATAAATAACACATAAAGCGAAGGCGAAAATCTTCAGACATATATATGAAATGGAATAAAGATGGACCCGATGTACTTATAGATGTAACCACAATTTACACATCACTACAGTCGAGTTATAAGCACAATATTTGTATTATTTCATTTGTTTGGATCATAAAAGAAGATAAAAGATAAAAGAAAGATAAAGAAATAATTTCTTCCTTTTGTTTTTGTATTAATCAATGTTTATGTGACGCTAATAATAGTTAGAATAGAGTGGATATATATATGACGCTGTGAGCTAAAATTTTTTATTAATAATATTATGTTAAATTATAATTTAAAATTATATAATCGAAATTAATGAAGATATGACTTTTAAATAAAGAAAGATAATATAGGGGTTAGTGAGAGGAAAGTGATGCATACTATGTTTCAAGGTGATTCCTATAAGATGATGTGACATACAATATATACCAAAAATCTTTTTGGTAGATATATATTTTTTTCTTTGGTGGAAGAGTTTGCCTCCATAATGTAGAAATATATAAATTATAGACCGACAAATATTAGACTAACTAGCAAAAGGGGGAAGAAGTCATTCATGATGACAAGGAAAAATCTTCTACTTTTAGAATGATCTCCAAGTTTGCAACAAAATAATAATAATAATTATTATTATTATAAAAAAATCATTAAACATCATAGAATAAATAAGTATTTTTAAATATAAGTAGAAAGTTTAAAATTTTACAAAGAACATAATCCAACTCAAATGTAATGTAAAACCCATAAAAAAAATTTAATAAAAAGTTTGTGACATTTTTTAAAATACATAGAATTTCTAAATTAAGAAAAAAAAATATATATATATACATTGAAATTATTCTATCTATCCGTTGATTTAATAATATGATATTAAAATTAGTTTTGTTGTTCAAAATCTTGTAATATCATTATTTTTATTTCATGGTATTAATAGTCACTGCATTGGTTTCATGAGAATATGATAAAAAAAGTCATATCTTTTAATTTATAACTTAAGTTTTAAATTTATTGAGTAAGCTTTTAATTTATCATATTTACAGATACAAGTTTTTTGGAGTTAACATCACAAAAAATTGAATGGTTAAAAATGAAATTAGAAAAAAGGTGTATGAATAGAGGATACAAAAAGAAATTAATATAATGCGAATTATAAACCATGAATATAATATTGATTATGATTGGATTTCCCAATATGACGATGCTTTAAGGAGCATAAACCATGATTAGACCTTGCTTTCCTCTTTAATTATGCCTGTAATCGGCATAATTAGAGGGAAGATAAAGTGACATCTTTCACAAAAGGAAGCTTGTAACCTAATTTTTTTTTTTCTTTTTTGAGTTTTGTTCATGCTTGTAACCTAATCTTAGTAGGTATTTTTTACTTTTACTATTTTTAAAAATTTTAAATTTGATTAAATAGTTCAACTCTTCTCATCCTTCGTTCCCTTTTTCATTTCTTTGAATCAATTTGAAATCGTACCCAAATTTAAAGAATAAAACGTAAATTTTGGGAACTATTTTTATTTTAGCTTTAAAATTTTGAATGGAACTTTTAGAAGGTTTTAGAGTAAACAAAACAAATAAAGAGTACAAGTTGAAATTAACTACGACTATAAATAAGTTTAAGAAGGTTAACTAATACTTCAACCAGTTAAATTGTTCAAGTTGATAATAAAGAGATGGTCAATAACTAAATTGCATTTTCAAATATAAGAACAAAATTACAAATAATTTTTGAAGGACGACGATTTTAGTCGAATTCTTAGCCAGCTGTTACCTCATCCAAAGCAACAATATTTA